TGACTGAACTCACTGAGGAATACGACGACGACGGATACCAGTTGTAATACACCATCTACTGCCAAAAGGCAAGGAGCTGCTGCTGTATAGCAATGCAGCCCCATGTCTACTAGCACCCAGATAGCCGATGACGGCTACCAGCCATACTGCACCGTCTACTGCCAAAAGGCAATTAGCTGCTGCTGTGTAGCAATGCAGTACCACGTCTGCTGGCACCCAGATGACATATGGTGACGGTGAGCTGAGCTGAGCTGAGCGGGCTCCATGCTTGCCGTGGTATGTTGTCTGCACAGGTAACCCAGGTAAAAAGGCGCGAATCGATTGTCTGCCATTGCTCTGACGGAGGGGAAGGGGCCTGACGACATGTACCCAGAACCCCCTGCGACACTGTTTTTGCATCATCAGGCATTGGGATCTCAACCCAGAATTCCAATGGGCGGCGGAGACTGCGGGAACTGTGGGATAGCTACCCACAGTGCAACGCTCCGGAAGTCGACGCTAGCCTCGGTACTGTGGACGCGGTCCGCCGACTTAATGCACTTAGAGCATTTTATGTGGGGACACACACAATTGACTGTATAAAACCGATTTCTATAAAACCGGCTTCTATAAATTCGACAGAATTTCGTAGTGTAGACATACCCTTACAAAGGTAGATTCCAGGCCATTCAGGTGTAGGCAGGGCCGGCTCCAGGAACCAGCTTAACAAGCAGGTGCTTGGGGCGGCCAAGGGAGAGGGGCGGCACCTGCGGCAATTCGGGGGCGGCAGGTCCCTCACTCCCTCTAGGAGCGAGAGACCTGCCGCTGAACTGCCGCCGCCAATCGCGGCTTTTTTTTTTTTTTTTTTTTTTTTGCTTGGGGCGGCAGAAATGCTGGAGCCGGCTATGGGTGTAGGTAGTGTGAGACAAGTCTGGTAAAGGGTCCAGAAGATGGATGATCAGGGCCTGGTCTACACTAGAAGCTTTTCCTGGTAAAGCAATGTTAATTAGGGATGCGATTTTGTTTTTACAACATTTCTACTCTGGCAAAAGCCCTAGGCCAAGATCTTCACAGGTGTTTTAAGTGCCTAACTCCCCCTGATTTAAGCAAGGATCTGGGCCCTAACATAGACACAGTTATAACACAAAAAAGTGCTTTTGCCAGTATTGCTTATTTCATTCATGGAACTAGTCTAAGCTTATCGGCACAAGCTCCCTTTTTCAGGTATAAGCTGCGTGTACACTAGGAGGGTTCGTTGGTATAGCTATACAGGCAAACCTTTCCTGGTGCAGATTAGGTCTGAATGTTTCAGATGCTGATGGTCTGCCTGTGTAAATCTTCTCTCTTATCTTTAGGGACCTCTCTATCAGTTTTGCCCCATCACCACACCCTGGTAAATTGGGCAATATATTTCCCATTTTACAGATTTAAGGCAGTGAGAAACTAATGGCTTGAGTTTCAGATGTGCCAACCTCTTGCACCTCCTAGTGCCTTCAACTGGAGACAGGGTGCACAATATGTCTGAAAAAATCAGGTCATGAGTGACTTGCCCAAAAATTCTCACAGCACATCTATGGCAGAACTAAGAATTGAACTGCGCTCTCCTGAATCCTACCCCAGAGCCTTAAAGACAAGACTTATTCTTTCTCCCATGGATTACTGTTGGAAGGGACATTGTAGTGGACTAATGCAATTCTTAAAAAATATTTCTTCCCCTCAGCAATTTTTCCTCAGCTAAGCAAATTTTCTCTTCAGTTTGTAACATCCCCATGCTGTTGGATTGTTCTTACTTGTTATTATTAAGCTTGTTATATGTCTGCATCCACAGTAATTCAAGCCAGTTCAGAACTTGGAAAAGGAGCCTTGCAGGAAAATCAGGTGCTGCATGATATGATGTTAGCAATGGGAAGATGGGACTCTCGCCTCTGGTTTAGCGTTGAACCATGCCCAAGCACACTGTTATAGGATACTATGCTGCTGGACCATTCTTTAAAACCAGGTTCCTGGCTACCTGTGTTTATTAAAAACCCAATGGCGTATGTATGTATGTATGTATGTATGGCAAAATAAGGATGTTGACTGTGATATCAAATTCCAGTGTAGGGAAATTACATTCAGCCCACCTACATTTTCTCTGCAAGTAAATGGATGTGCTGTTCTTCACTTCCTGTCTTTAAGTGGTGTGTATTATTGTCAAAAAAGCCACATGTTTTGATCGTTGTCACATTGAGGGCAAATGTTTGTTCCATGTAACTGTAAGATGCATTCTCTCCATGTTGCAGGAAGCAAGTTACTCATGCTGCAGTTCAGATTATTAGTGAACCTGAAGGAGGATCTTCACAGACATAGAGTACCCAGGGAGTCCTCATTCAGATACCAGAGGAACATCGAGGACATGGGAGATTCTGTACAAATAGACAGATATTTTTAACATGGCACATTGTGGAATGCTCTGAAAGCCACACAATGCATGCAAGATTTGCAGCGGTATGTAGCTCTGTACATTTTTGTGGGTATTGGTTGTAGCAGGGTTTACCCACAGATGCATTTCTAAAAGCTACTAATTTTCTTATCCCCATCAGAAAACCACCACACTAATTAACAGTGTTGGCAGTTTGTGCTCAAGAACTCCCTGGGACAGAAATAGCCAGTTTTTCTATTCTCATTTTTCTGGACACTTCATTATATATGTTTTAAAGGGAAAGAGCAACATTTGCTGTGGTAACACTGGAGGGGGAGATTGTGAAGAAAAATGGGGTGCCTGGCTCATTTGCATCTTAGTGCCCTGAAGATACTTCAAGCTTGGATCTAAACCGTAACAGTGCTGGTGTCTGAGCTCCACTCAGTAGGCATGGAGATACTTTCTGTGGTTCTCAAGCTATGGTCCACCAAGCCCTTTCTGGCTCTTCACAGGTTGAAATATTGAGGCACAAGTAGTGAGCGGGAAGGGGGTGCTGAGAGACGCCGTGGGTCCATAAGAAATTCTCAGCGTTATAAGTGACCCACAAAAGGAAAAGTTCAGTAGGGGATCTCCGTAGCTTTCCTCCGCTCTACCCTTTAATGACAAAGGACAGTAGGCAAGGTGTGTTATGGTCTGACTGCTCTCTGGACAGATCTAAGATGTCCTGATGTGATAGCAATCACTGTGAGAAATTACAAAAACATTGTTTGCCTTTAAATCAAGCTTGGGGTTTTATTGTGAGTGGCTAATGGAGGGGCGGGCAAACTTTTTGACCTGAGGGCTGCATTGGGTTTCGGAAATTGTATGGAGGGCCGGTTAGGGGAGGCTGTGCCTCCTCAAACAGCCAGGCGTGGCCCAGCTCCCACCCCCTATCCGCCCCCACCCTGCTTCTCACCCCGACGGCCCCCACAGAACCCTTGCCCCATCCACCCCCCCCACTCCCTGTCCCCGGAACCCCCACCCCTGACTTCCCCCCTGCTGTCCCACCCAACCCCTCCTCTCATTCCTGACTGTCCCCCCAGGACCCCGCCCTATCCAACCACCCCTCTCTTTCCTGACTGCCCCCCGGGACCCCTGCCCCATCCAACCACCCCTTCTCCCTGTCCCCTGACTGCCCCCGGAACCCTTGCCCCTGACTGCCCCCCGCTGCCCCATCCAACCCCCCCTCCTTCCTGATTGCCCCCTGGAACCCCTGTCCCCATTCAACCCCCATTACCCGCTTTCTGACCGCCCCGACCCCTATCCACACCCCCACCCCCTGATCACCACCCCAAACTCCCCTGCCCTCTATCTAACCCCCCCTGCTCCCTGCCCCCTTTACCGCGCTGCCTGGAGCACTGGTGGCTGGTGGCGCTACAGCCGCCCCGCCTGGCTGGAGCCAGCCACGCCGTCGCCACCACGCAGCACAGAGCACTGGCTCAGGCCAGGCTCTGCAGCTGTGCTGCTCCAGGAGCTCGCAGCCCGCAGCCCGCCGCCCAGGGCCGGCTCTGGCTTTTTTGCCGCCCCAGGCAAAAAAGCCTCTGGCCGCTCCCCCCCCGCGGGGGGGGGGGTGCCGTAGCCCCGGGGGGAGGGCGGCGAGCCCCGGCGGGGGCTCTGCTCTCCCCCCGGCGGCCGGGGGCAGGGCGCCAGAGGGGAGGGCGGCCGGAGCCCTGGGAGGAGGGCGGCGAGCCCCGGCGGGGGCTCGGCTCTCCCCCCGGCGGCCAGAGCGCCGGGGGCAGGGCGGCGAGAGGGCGGCGAGCCCCAGCTGGGGCTCGGCTCTCCCCCCGGCGGCCGGGGGGAGGGCGCGGGGGGGGAGGGCGGCCAGAGCGCCGGGGGGAGGGCGGCGAGCCCGGCTGTGGCCCCGCTCTCCCCGGCGGCCGGAGAGCCGCGCCGCCCCCCTCCAGGTGCCGCCCCAAGCACCAGCTTGGTTGCCTGGTGCCTGGAGCTGGCCCTGCCGCCGCCCAGAGCATTGCACTGGCGGTGCAGTGAGCTGAGGCTGCGGGGGAGAGGGAACAGCAGGGGAGGGGCCGGGGGCGAGCCTCCCGGGCCAGGAGCTCAGGGGACAGGCTGGAGGGTCCTGCGGGCCGGATGTGGCCCGCGGGCCATAGTTTGCCCACCTCTGGGCTAATGGCTGTCACCACTGGGGAAAGTGGACTGATGCCAGTGTTAAAATGGTAGTTCCCGCCTAGCTATATTGTGGACATGTAGTGGGAGGAGCTTTCCCCACCTTGCATGGCTTGCAACAGAATGGCAGTCCCTCCACTCAAAGCAGCATAGAGATTGTTCCCTCGTGGTGCCCTAAAGGGGGTGTGGAGAGGTAGACAGTAAGCAGAGCCATGGCTCTCTGCAGGAGCATGCTGGATCCCTTAAAAAGGGGTAGTAGCTGTGCACTCCCCTTACACATTGGGGAGCTCTGGAAGGCATGCAGAGAGTCTCCCGTGCTTCCCAGGCTCAGTGGGACGCTGCACTGCCCCCAACATGGGGCTGTGCCCAGTTGGCCCATACTAGCCCTAGAATGGTTTGTTGGGCTTTCAATCCAAAACACCTAACAAAACAGCTGTGAGTTATGCCCAATAAATGTAATAACTGATACAAATTTTTAACTACAAAATACAAAGTAGACAGAAAAGCGATGGCATAAGAATCAAAAGGAACAGTGTTTGTTATGCAAAACAAAAGCAAAATACACTTAACAGCAGATAGGGATTCTGATATGACACACTTGGTCACATACAACGCTGCATTAGTAACAGTACACATAGATATTCATTATGCAGGATTTCTCACAACGGCTGCCTCTTCATCCTCTACTCCATCCCAGATGACAAGTCAATTGGTGTTCTTCATTCTCTTACATAAATTCTTGTGCACACAACATCATCGGCACCAAAAGTCTTGAAAAGAAACAGACATCCATCAGCAGAGAGGTAATAGGCAAAAATGACATACAATTTTTAGGAGTATATTAATTTTACCATAGTAGCTAGTGGTATAGCACACATTAAATTGCAGCTTTGCCGAAGCAAAGGTTAATGTACTGGAGGTGGGTCTCTTTCCCAGACACAATGAAGTTTGTCAGAGAGAGAAATAGCCCGGAACCTCATAATTTTTCTACAGTTGCTTAGCTTGCATTTGTGAATGGCAAGAGAAGTTGGAATGTACTAGGCTTTTATATTTGAAAACAGTCACAATCTTTGAATGGCTTTGTCTGAATTAAGGGTACTATGGGTGGGATTCAGATCAGATTGACTGCACGTACAAGACTGACTGCTCAGCTGCCCAGTTCCTCAGCTGGTGTAAATCAGAGTAGCTCCAGTGAGGTCAATGGAGCAATGCTGATTTACACCAGCTGAGGATCTGGTCCATATATACTATGTATATAAAACCTGTCAATGTATGATGCTGCTGCAAGATGTTGACATGACAGACCTACAGACTGAAATCCTCTTTTTCCAGCTATAGTTTAGACCGCATCAGTGTGAGTATCCCCACACTGCTCTGACCGGGAGTCCTGACCGTGACCTGGATCTTTCTCCTTTGGGAGTGAGAGGGTAGCTGAGTCTCCTTGCATTACCCATTCGATCCTCGGCCCTTCTGCTGAGTCTACCAATAAACTTGCCAATTCTGCTGATGATTTCTGACATGGGCACTTATCCACTTGGAATCTGTCTGAGGCAAACTCATTTCCCATCACCAAAAAGCCATCAGATGGCATCAACTTTTGATCATACCTGAGAGTCACTGACCTAGAGATCAGGGACTCTATATCCCATTAGCAATCCCCTAAGACATCCAATTCCCCAACCCCAGCCTCAGTAGTTGACCAGTTCATGGAAGCACCGGGTACCAAGAGCCGTATTCCTGGTGTTTGAATGGAGTTATAGATAGGCCCCCAGATGTCTGTTGTGTTTTAAGTTACCAGTAGTACTGTAGTGCACTTAAATGGTAATTCTACTGGAGTGATTTCACAATATTGATTAATCAGGACATTGGGGGCAGGATAGTTATTGTGGGGGCCAGCTGGGGGACCTGTGTAAACACCAGTGTGTTTGTAGACACCTGCAGTGCAGAGACTGATCAGACTGACTAACTAATTGCAAAAGCTAAAGATTAAATAAATATTACTGGTGAAGGAATCAAGCAGAGAAGAGTCAGAAAATGCTGACAATAAAGAGTTCAAATGCAATATTCACTTAGCCCTGTTGTACATTCAGTACCCTAAACTGGTGGTTTTTCAGGCCTGCATTTAGCAAGTTATGGGGTAGGATCCTCAGCTGGTGTAAACTGACATAGCTCCACTGAAGCCAGCTAATTGGGCTCAGATCCAGGGTTATGAAGATTTAGCTGTGGTTTACTTAAAAAAAAAAATTCCAATGCTTTTTTTGGCCCACCATCTCTTCAAAACAGTGTGGCCTAAAAACCGCACGTTTTTTTATTCTGTTGGCCTTGATGAGAAGAAAAAACATTTAATAGGTTTTGGGGGGGGGGGGGGTAGAAGGCTGGTGGGGAGTGAAAAAAGTTATTTTTATGTGTATAAAGAGCTTATCGTATAAACCTTTATACCTTTTAAAAAAATCTGAATATCAAAATGGCTGGAAATGAACAGTTAAAGGATTCAGCCAGTTCCCCACGGCCATAAAATCTAGCATCGCACACTAATACCCCACCAGATTTACCCCATCTTAACATGGTTTTCTGATAAAATTTGCAAAAATATGCACACATGCCAGGTAACTTCAGCAGGAGCTATGCCAGAGAAAGGAGTGTAGGAATGGTGCCCCCGGGGGGTTTTATTGCTGTGATGGTTTTAAGCAATTTTATTTTGTTTATAAGAGTTTTGAGGCTGGATTTCCTTTTTATTATGTTTGTACAGTGCCCAACCCAATGGGGGTTGGGCCTTTAGGTGCTACTATAATACAAATAATATTAATAGAAATAAAACAAAATAAAACTGACTTTGGGCACACATTCTCTGCAAGAGTTAGGGGACAAAAGTCCTCTACACTTCTTCCCTAGCTACACATGCAAAGAGATCAAACACATCTTTCCACGGGATTTAGAAGACTCTTTGCTAACAGTCACCTATTGAGTGCCATTGACATGACACTTCAAACAGAGCTAGACATTGTTCCTTCCCTGAAGAGCCAGACTAGATTATATATCAGAGGGGTAGCCGGCGTTATCTCCATACTGATTTATACCTGCCTCTGGAAATTTCCATTACTTGCATCTGAAGAAGTGAGGTTCTTACCCACGAAAGCTTATGCTCCCAATACTTCTGTTAGTCTTAAAGGTGCCACAGGACCTTCTCAGACTAGATTATGTGGTTTCTCGGATGCTATAGGAGTGTGGTGCATTTTTTAGCTCTGATGTTTTATATTTTATAGGTAAAGGTCATATTTTTAAAACTTGAGTGCCTAAAGTTAGCCACCTAAATCCACAGTTGGACACCTAATTTGATTTCCAGCCCCTTTGAAAGTAGAGTTACTTATTTAGGTGCCTAACTGTGGATTTAAGTTATTAACTTTAGGCACCCATGTTGGAAAATTTTGAAAAGCCTAAAAGTTTAGCATAGTAGCATTATTAGTGAAATGGCATTAAACCATATTGTTGAGCAGAGAAAGTTATGAATTGGAGGGACATACTCATACTTGCTGCACTCCTTTTCTTTGAAGTTACACATGACTTTGCTTCACAGATACATGTTAAAGACCCAGTTGTGCACCTCATACATTGGTGAGCATCTAGTCTTGTGAGAAGTCCCATTAAAATCAACAGGACTGATCATATAAGTGTTCCCCTTCATAAGAATGGCACACTAAAGCCTTAAATCAATTTACCACTCCACTCTAAACTACCAAAAAAACATGTTGAAGCCCATCCCTACATGTAACGCCCATTGAGTTCTGCACACTGCTGGACCGTGAGCTCAGTTCCTAGACAGAGGAAAATAAATTTTAATGGAGACTCAGAAGAGCTCTGACTAGACTTCTGCACAGTATAGATCCAGTCCTGCAGCCACTTCATGAGCAGAACACACATCAACTTCAATGGGCAATTCCGTTGTTCAGGAAAGACAGGACTCAGTCTCTATGATTCCAGTATATTATCTGAACTAAACCAAACAGCATGTTCAGGCACAGACCGGAATAAACCTTATAATGTATAAGACAGTAAAACATGTTATATAAACGGTATGTGCCAGCATTTCACTTAGCAGCTAGCAGGATCCTTGGAGCATTAGCCTCACTGCTGTGCTGTACATGCACAAAATAAAATGCCAGCAATTAGTCCTTGGAAATCTTGGCGAATTTGCTCAGCGATGTAAAATCCTTGTAATTTCCGAAGACCATCAATCAGCCTTGCTGAGCTGCAGCCACTGAACAACAACAACAAAAAAATCATGGGAACATTGCTCTTTAATTCAGCCCATTTTTAAAGGTCTGCTTTAAAAAGTTACACACTAAAAATATAAACAACCAGCTTGCATGGAGTTTAATTTATCAAATGCAGCTCTATAATGAGAAACAGAGGGAAATAAACCCTTCAACCACTGCGGAATCCTTCACTTTCTAACTGAAATGACTAGATAGAGAGAGGCCCAAATTTAGGCACAGATTCAGATGGAGGGATTCTAATCTAACAACTCCCTGCCCTGAAATTCATTGGATTTAGGGAGGGGGAGTGGTTTGAGGAGACAGGAGAGTCCCTCCATCTGAATCTGCCCCTAAGGTTTTGGTTCTAGATTGGAAGAGATGTGGAAGAAATCTCATCAGAACAGCAGATCTCATAAGAATATCATTATGCAAGAGGGTAGAAATCGAGATAGTACAGCGTGTCTGGGACTGAAATCTTCAAAAAGCATCTTGGAAGAGTCCAGCACTGTCAAATCTGAAACCAACACTAATGACAAAGGGTGGGATTTTCAAAAGGGATCTAACACCCATTGTAAATCAACGGGAACTGGGCACGCAATTCCCTTTGATGCTTTTGATATTTCCATCCTTTCTCATTAGCCTCAAACCTAAACTTTCATCTAAACTTAATCTGGATCCAAACCCAAATAATTGCCTTTTAACCAGTCTCTTGCTTCTGTCTAGTAAGTACAAATTTAAAGGAAAGCTATCATGTGAAACATAGGAAGCCAGGAATCAGCCCTGTCTAGACATAACAGCATAATAGGTGGAATTCAAGACTTTGTTTATATTAATATATTCTGCCACTGGCTCACTGTATAACCTTCAGACAGTCATGAGTCTTTTTCTGTCTCATTTTCCCCATCTGTACAATAGGAATAAAACTCACCTTACAAGGATGCAGTGAGGCTTAATGTTTGTAAAGTGCTGGGGTAGGTGCTGTATCTAAGTGTAAATTATTATAGTGTCTTAAGTTTATTATTTCTGAAATTACAATATAGCATCCTACACAGGGCCAGCTCTACCATTTTTGTCGCTCCAAGCAAAAAAAAACAAAAAGCCACCCGAACTGCCAAAGCAAAAATAAAAAAGGCGCCCGGACTCTGCCACCCCAAGAATGGACGGAATGCCGCCCCTTAGCATGTGCCGCCCCAGGCACGTGCTTCCTCCGCTGGTGCCTGGAGCCGGCCCTGATCCTACACCTGCCTTGTCACAGCCAGTACCTGAAAGGGACAGAAAATTCAATGCAAACACAGCCTATGTCAGGCAGCCAGGGCAAGGGCAGTCTAGTCTAGTGGTCAGTGCATGTGTCAGGCCTAATGGTCAGAGCAGGCATCAGGAACCAAGGACTAGGGTCAGAGCTGCAGTCAGTACTTGGAAGCTGGAGCCAAGGGTCAAGCTGGAGGTCAGGAGCTAGATACCAGAGCCGAGGGAGTTAGGAAGTGGAGCAAGGAGGGTTCAAGGCAGGGGCGAGACAG